AACTCATATCTTGGCCAAAAACCATTGACTTGGCCAATGACCTGTTAACCGGGATGATTGAATTGTTGACCAGTTTGATTCAAACAATAGTTTTAGTTATATTTTTTTGCTTTAATTATTATTTATTTTTTAAATTAAAACAAGCCATCTGTTCGAACTGAACGACTGAACCACTGACCCAAAAACCGGTAGCGAAAGTGATTCGATGATGATGAACTAAACACCACCTAAACAATGGAAATAGAGACCGGGCGCATATGAGGTCGACACTGACCTTTTTAGTGAGAGCTTGCAGGTATGCTGTTTTGATTCTGCACCTCTATATTTAGAGGGACGTAGGGTCAAGTAATCATCTCAGCTGGGACAGAGCAGAGATATGTGAGTTAAGTTAACTAAATAAATAATAATTACCCTATTTTAATGAAGTATAGAACATTTCATTTTTGTTGGGTTAAATCATGGTTTTCAAAATCTGATCAGACTGGATGATTGGACCGAAAAAATTGAGAACTGGTCACATCATTGGTTCTGTTTTACCCCAGAACGGTAATTTTAGCCAAAACTGTTAATTTGATCAGTAAACTGTTGATTCGGACGGTCAAACTGTTTAAACCGCTCAGCAGTTTTTAACTATTTTTTATTTTATTTTTATATTAAATTCGAATGATTGGATGATTTGACCCAAGAACCAGACCTTGAACAATTCATTGTCGGGTTCGATTTTAAAAACCTTGGGTTAAACTAAACTAGAGACCAGCAAATCTTGATCATTTTATCGTATGCCTTCAATATTTTTACCTCTTTTTTCAAGGTACGTACTACGTAGAGGATGCACCACCCACCAAATGACAAAGTGCACTTAGTCAATCTGCCGTAATCTCGAGCAATGCTGCAGTCAATAATTCATCCCAATTTTCTAACATACTAGGGCCAAGCACGTACCTTCTCATGGGTATGTGAGGATAGGTGGATGAGAGGGAGAGAGAGAATTTCTGTTGCAACTACAGTCATGGTGATGACACTCTATAGGCATCCCTCAGATTCGATAAACACAGACACACCAATAATATATAAAAAAAGGAAGATGTTCACGTGATGTATGGATGAAATTGATTTTAGCATCACTGCGCACAGGCGTGTTGGTGTTTGATTAGAGGATTGTAAGGAAGTCACTGTGATTAGGTACTTGAAACGCATCGAGACCGCCCACCCCACGCCACGACGAGTGGAAGATTTCCTTAGTCCTGCTGCTCTGCTACCAAAATAAGTAGCAATCAAATCAATGCAGTTGAAGTTGAAGCCTCATCCATCCATCTCAATTCTCAATTCTCATTTCTAATTTCTCAACACATGATGTGTTGATGGCCCAGGGAGCACAGACGTTGAAGCTATGCCCACCACTTTTTACGGCACTAGTACGCATCATGCTCAGCTTCTCCTCCGGCTCGGACCTCGGAGGGACGATTACATTACATCTCATCTTTGGGATCCCCACAGCCTCCCAAACAGATGCAGATGCTGCTGCTATATATTGCACCGCCATCCGCCAATGCTCTATGCAGTAGGAATTACGAAATCTTGCTCTGCAGTCTGCTCTCATCATCACGTATTCACGTTCAATTACAATACAATACAATACAATACAATACATAATTAATCTCTCTCTCCCCACATATTTGTATTCACTTGCCACATATTTTGGTGAAATCTAATTAATCTCTCTCCACAAGTCCAGAGTCTAGTCCAGCCCATGGGTTTATTTTATTAAATAATTAATTGTAGTTTGTTTTGGGTTGGTGCGCTTCAAATTTTCAAAAGGTGGTGTTTTTCTTTTGGGAACATTTTCGTGTGATTGACGAACGAAGTCAATAGGTTGTGTGAACCAGTACTACTACTGCTACTACTACGCCCCTTTTTCAACTGACAACCCCCCACTGCTTCTGCTCCTTCCTCGCCTACATCCTATATTATTTGCACGCCAGCCGGTTGTTATTTTGGACTGCCATCTGGAACCATCCTCATCCTTGCATGCTCTTCTTTAGGAGTCTCCCCTAACAATCAACTGTTTCTTTTATTTATTTATTTTTTATTTTTGTGTTTCTTCAAAAATTAAATTTCATATAATTAAAATCTTTCTTTGTTTGGTTTCGTTAATTTCTTCTTTTTATTTTCCGCTTTTCTTTGTCTAAAACAAAAATCTGAACATGTTATTGAGTTTTTAGTTACAAAAGTGGTTTGATTTACTTTGATAGTTTGATAACTAGATCTGTTTTATAAACCATATGATATTTCCTATTTGGAAATCATCTTTCATCCTTCTTGCTTTGTTGCTTATTTATTTATTTTAGGTTTTAGGCTTTTATCCCAAGTCATCAATAAATGTTGGTCAGTATATGTATGTGTATGTTGCGTTTAGTGGGTTTTGAAAACATGCATGCATGGGTGTTTTCAGGGATCAAAATAGTCTTATTTTCATTTTCTTCACTGAGCATGATCAATGATCATGAGCATATATAAGAATTGTTTTCAGAAAACAAAGAAAAGAAACTAGGCAGTAATTACAAAAGACTGTATCTATTTAAGATCCGAGTATGTATAACAGTATAATTTAAAATTAATAAATTTAATATTTTACATTTATAGATATTATTATAGAAGTTAAAAAGTAGTTAACTTTTTATCGAATTTTTTTTGTTTTAAAGACAAAAAAAAAGTGCTTTCAAGACAACAAAAAAAAAGGTGGATTGTGATTTAACCTGAATCTGATCCAAATCTGTTATTTTGGATTTGGAATCGGATACAGATTTAAAGTTTCAATAATCAAATCAGATGTGGAGGTGGCCTAGTCTATGGCTCCGTTATCCGTAGATCCATATCCTACTTATTCCACCCGGTTGGTTTTGTTTGGGGCATGCAATTGGCTGGTTCTGGCCTTTGGGTGGAGAAGGATCAGTTTGTTGGTGCATATCTGAACCGGCCCCCGCCAGGACAATGCAATTGCTTTTTACCGGCTTTATATAGCTTTTTAGGAGAGAAAAGTGTGCTGTGTGCATTAGACAGATCACATCTCATTTCATTGTAGATGCAATGAATTTATGTACTTTGTGTATGTAATAGTGAAGAAGTTAATTAAGAGGTCATGAGATAGATATATTAATTGCAAAATTTCAATAAATAACCTCACCCATTTCCATTGCGGATTAAGCCTTAATGGGTCCTCTCTTCCCTGTCCCAGTGTCCCTCCTCTTTAATTATGGTCCAAACTCCAACCAACCTATAAACAATTAATGGTCTGAACAATCAAGAATTCCATCATATTGGCTACCAACCCCTTGAACCCCATGACAAGAAATAAATAAATAAATAAAAAACAAGTAGAAAAAGAAGAAATAATTCTGTCTCAATTAATGAGAACATTGGTGGAGGTCCAAGTAGTAGTTGTTTAATCAACACTGAAAAATTAACATTGCATATGGTGGATCAAGTCAAGCCAACAACTTGTTTGGGTCTTTATGTTCTCTCCTGCACAAGTCAATGACAACTTGTTTGGGTCTTGGTGGATTTCTATCTATCTTAATTAATTCTCAATAATATATAGTATCGTAATAATAAAATTAAGGAAAAGAAAAATAATATGTGCATAGGAAATCTAAATTCTAAAGCACTCGAAAATAGTTTTTTTTTTTTTTTTTTTAAAAGGAAGATAGCCTAGCCTTCCGGCTTATTACAATTGGAAGTTGGAAACCCCAGATCTGCTGAAATTCTTCCTCGAAAAGTCCACCATTGGGGATTGAGAGAGTAGTAAACAAAGAAGGCCGACCCAGTACGATCTCTATAAATTTCCGAACCTAAAGGAAAAAGCAGGTCACTGTTGATATTAGACCCAAGGGAGAACCGGTCCCATGTGTAACCCACCATCACTTACTAACCCTTTCAAATTAAAATATAACATATGTTGAATGACCACACTGACCATATATCCAATTCCCAACTTAGGTTGTGTTTGGATAACCTTCATTCATGATTTGTGCTCAAGTGTTTTAAAGGCAGCTTTTACCAAATGCTTATTAAAACACTTATTTGCCCTAATTAAAATTTTGTTTAGACAAATTAAAGCTCATGCAAATTAGTGGGGACAATCAGGTACGATTTTGCTAGATTGGGTCTGGCCCTTTTCCTGGTCTCGGACTCTTGGCTGGATATATATACCAATAACCCGTAAAGTACTGGTCCCTTCTTGTACGAAACGCTCCACGTTTTGATATACAAGACCACCAGGGGGCTTCAACAATACAACAGACAAGCACAAGGGAACAAAGAGACAGCCAATACAAACAGTTGTGCCCTTATCAAATCCTCTTCGCTTGCCCACTTGGTCCCACTCACAACAAATTCCTAGCTACTTAATTAGCTAGTAGCAGCTATACTTCATGTATAGGAAATCAGGGTCAGAATCAAATACTTGGTCCAGGGATAGTAAATAAAACCGGGTATGCCGTGTAACCGGGATAAGAAATCTACGATGCCCATGAATTCTTTGATGAGTGAGGAGGGTGCTAGTGTGCTACTTCCTAGTATCTATCAATTAGTGACAATTAGTGACATACATTCCTCAGTCTTCAATCTTCAGTAACCCGAATCCGGATCGAGAGAAGAAAAACTAAACGTACAAACATATCCCTATGTATGTTTTTCATTTTTTATTTGTGTACCCTATACAGATAGATTCATCATAACGGCACATCTAGAACCTTCATCTATCCTCTGTATACAGAGATGTATGGTTTAGATGCATTTTTCCAGGCATGTAAGAAAAAGTTGTTGTATATTTGACATTTCAACTCAAAAGAGAAAGAACGGAAAAAAAAAAGAGAAGGGATCATCAACATAGTCTAAGTAAAGGGATAAGTGTCTTTTCACTCTTTTTGTGTTGTAGCCAAGACCAAGAAGAGTATAGAGATCGTAAGGCGTAAGGAATCCCCCCCCGCCATACTCACTACTCAGGAGTCAGGGCTCAGCCCAGTGGGCAGTGGGCCAGTGGCCCCTCCTTCTCTTTCTCTCTGTCCCTCCTCATCTGTTAACCGAAAATGACTGCAACCAAGTCTCTGCAATCTACTTGCCCATATCATCTATATATAAATACATGGTGATGTAACCACCCACTTAACCTTGGCCATCCCCTCCTTTCTTCCTTTGATCCTCTTGTTACTTCTCTTCTCGGGTTTGTTTATTCTGTTCTTCAGTACTACTCAATCCAAGCTTCATCAATGGTGGATCTCCAGACTGTATGTTGCATGTGCGGCGACGTCGGTTTCTCCGACAAGCTCTTCCGTTGCACCAGATGCCAATATCGTTTTCAGCATTCGTATGGGTTTCATCTTCTTCTCATCAGCATCAAAGACCAGTTTGATTATCATGATATTCATTAATTACCGCGTCAATGGGTTCTTCCTGCATATCATCAAGCATCATCATCAGTAACAGTACCCATCATCATAAACCGCCCAAAGCCTTCAACTACCTTCATCATCATCATGTAATTATGATGCCATGAGTAGATCATCGTAGCTAGGCAACCGAACTTATCAACATCGTCATCATTATAATTAATCATGCCATGGGCTGCAACAATATATTATAGTTACGATCAATGTTGTCATCAGACATCAATATTCTCATGGGGACTGTAATTCCCATATCATTAGCTTCAACTTTTCTAAGTATTTTGTATGTAAATTCACAGGTACTGCAGTAACTACTACAGCGAACTGTCGGAGACTCCTGAGTTGTGCGACTGGTGCCAGAGTGAAGAGAGAAGTGCAAAGCATCGTGGTTCTAATTCGAAGAAGTTTGCTGGAAACGACTCCTCCGGAGCCCCCAACAGGTCTCAGTATTCCGGTGACAAGATCAAGCAACATGATCGGGATGACAGTTCCGACAAGGGGAGAGGCACGGGTAGCAATCCTTCCCCAAGACCAACTACACGCAGGTACAAGCTTCTCAAGGATGTAATGTGTTGAGCGAAAATGAAAGGAAAAAAAAAGTAGTGTTTTGTTAACCAGAAGTTCCTTAATTAATACTTGTTATCTAGTTTTCCAAGAGTTCTACTTTAATTGTTCTGCGTGTGGTTTCCACTCTCTCTCTCTCTCTCTCTCTCTCTCTCTCTCTCTATATATCTTTTAAGATGGAAGAAAATACTGAACGATAAGAAGAGCTTACCGATTTTGAGACTGATTAGTTTGGGAACTACTCTTTTGTTTAACCATCCGCCTAGATCTCTCTAGCTAGTTCTTCTGTAAGAGCAGATATTAGATCTACCAATTCAACATATATAGATGAATCTGGGCGGGGCTTAGGGGTTTGTTTAATTTTCATTCTCCTTTCCATATAATAGTATCATTCTCTCATTTTGCAATACCAACCTACCTTAACAACAGCACACCAAGAACAACAATGGTTGTACAACTGGTTGTTTCTTTCTTTTTCTTTCTTTTTCCGGTAAGGATTCTCAGTTGTTTTCATTAACTTTGCACTTTTCTTTATAGAAACCCGAAAATATGGGCGTCATCCATGGGTTTAGGCTGATTACAATCTTAATTTGCTGCTAAAAATAATATACTTGTGATTTGGGTGGACGAGCGAAGTATTTTCAGAACGGATGGGTTTTCGTGAAAACTAGTTTCCATTATTGGGTAGGGTTTGTAGGGTTAATCTCTGTCACACTAGGGATCTTGGGGAAGTTGCACCTTCATTGCTGTGTTGAGATTCTTGAGGATAATTGAATGCATTCGTATGTCTTTTGGCAAAAGGGCTCGTAGTACCTGAGGAGGCTATCTTTTTCAGGTTCATTGAAATAAGGCTTTCCTCTAAAAATGTCTTCTTACTGATGTACTCTTTTCTCGTTTTACTACTGAGAAAAGATAATGCTAAGCATCTTGGGGAGGTTAAAAATTTTCTACTAAACTTAAATTTGCTTCGGAAAGATTGGCTCAAATAGGATTTAGCCAGAAGCTCTCTCTCTCTCTCTCTCTCTCTGGGGTTGTTAACTAGAAGACTAGAAGAAAAAAACATAGCTGAAGAGCTAAGCGTTCTTTTTTCTTCTTAGACATTTCTTTAACTCATAAGAACTTTATCTTACTGCAAGCCGGCCTTTTGCTCTCGTGAACCCTTTATATGTAATATCTGAAAGTACACAAGCTTATAATAGGTCTCGTTCGCTCTTTCTGTTTTGGCCATTTATGAGGAATCAACTAAAGCCCCTTTCATTGGGCTTGAAATGACAATGAAATTATGACTTTGTGTACTAGTTTGGTTCGTTTCATATTATGTTGGTCATAGTGACCAGTACTGTTCTATATATGATCAATGATATATATGAATAACCCTCTTAGCAAGTATACCAAATTAATCCTCTATCCTCCAATTAATTAAAACGTCATGTGGCTCTAATTTGGATATGAAGGAAACCCAACCATGCATTAATAAATAAACATGATCATGATCACCCAACAAACAGTTTGTTTCTGTCCCAGCCACCCTTTGTTTTCAAACCATCATCAAGAGAGTCACATGGTTGCTTTGGCCTCACAGTTCACCCGCATCTATTTTCCTTACTCAACTTACAAGCAACAAAATTTTTAAGACCCACTTAATACATATATATATCAACATGAACTAATTAACACTGTTCTCATGAATTTTACAACTGCCCACATTCTCATTATAATAAAAAAGTAGATGATAAGCAGTAACTAGCATGGAATTTGGCAAGCGATCGAGCATATATAGATTTGACATTTAATGTGGCAGAGAGATCATTAGAGAAGATCTAATAAGAACTTCAAAACCCTAACAAGGCTCAGCCAGTCAAAAACCAGTTGTTGGTCTGAGCAACCATGTGGGCTGGGTGTATTATCGAATGCCCCATGTGACCAAGAATGGCCATCCCAGGGAAATAGCTAGTAGCATGATAATTTTGGTTATGAGTCTGCATCTTTTTCGATGTAAAAGGTTCTTGCCGTAAATGGAGCTCAAGTATATTATTGCTGAAACATTTCAGAATGAAACTGTTTTAAATTCTGCCCCTTCTGCATCAAAACAAAGAAAGATTAATTATAAGAGTAAAAAATTATGCAGATTATTAATTAAAGAATGGTTGGTCCAGAGGAAATACAGTCAATGGTTACAGAGGAGAGGAGAAGAATGGTATGTGGTGGAGATCATCAGATTCACTTAACTTTGATAATGACTGTCTAGGATGATATATAATGGTTTTTTCTTTCTTTTTTTTTTTTTTAATATTTAAGATGAACAGCTGAAGAGCTTAAACCGGAGACCAAGATGTCAAATTAAAGGGTTCGTAGTGTTCAATTATATTTGTTCGTGATGAACAAAATATTATATTCAATGCTACGTGGTTCGGTGGTGTCCAGAGAGAGATTTGTAGTGTATTTGGCTAAATGTGTTAATTTCAAGAGCTCCATTTAGCAGTATATATAGAGGTGTGGGGAGTCCGGATTTCTTGCACTTGGTTATGTGTGTGATGTGGTGTACTCTCAATTACATTGAAACACGTCAGACTTTGCATGGTATCTCAGGTCATATGTGCGAATCATTTAACGGGACCGTTTGCATTTTTTTAATATTTTAATTTTTTCAAACTAAAAATTTAAAAGAAAGAATAAAAATAGATACTTTGACCGCCCAGCTCGACGACAGACGGCAAAAAATATTGAGAAAACTGTTCAGACCTAACCCTTCCATAGAGCAGATGCCATTAACGAACGATTGCAGGGGAAAAAATTCTGGTGTTGAATTGTTTATACTGAAGTGCTAGCATAGCTCCTCCATGGTAAATTTGCTTCAATGTTCAGTGTTTCTTATTCTGCAAATGAGAACTGAAGCAACAAACCGGCAAAGCTTGTTGTTTTGATGACTTTATAGTATATACTCTATCCAATTGATTGAGATAAAGATTCAGAAATCTTCAAGTTGAGATAAATTCAAAAGCAAAATTAATAAACGTTAATTACTCTGTAACATGCTTCCTAATTTTGAAGTCTCCATCCATTATCTTTCTGTTCATGATATTTTTCTCAATTGGTGATGAAATGTTGGTAGGCTCTCCAGTCCCAACCCACCTAACAAATCACGTGGTTGAGTCAAAAACATATATAATGGTATGACATGTAGACCTTTTGCTGGTTCCACACCTGGATGCCACCGATATCTTGAAGTGCTATATTTCAGCCACGAGTTCAACTTCAAACTATTTTCTATGTTTTTTACTTTATTTTATTTCAACCTATTTTCAATAGTTTTTTTTTTTTTTTGTGGCATGGACAAGATGGAGACAATAACAGAGACAACAACCATGACATGCCCAATCGTTAGTCCTTTCAATTGGATCCATGCCATTAAATGGGGTGCTCTCCAACGTGATTCTTTTTTTTTTTTTTTTTTTTGGTTGAGAGTGTAAGCCCACAGACTGAGACTGATCAGAGTTGACCTGAAAGTTGTGGTGAACCCAAGGGTGAGTTTATAGATCAAAGGAAAGTCCTGAGAACTGAGAAAGAAATTCTGGAGATCTGAGGCCTGAGCTTGATCTGAAAGTTTGATATCTCCTTCTCTCAAGTTTAATTTTGTCGTGAAACTATCTATTTATAAGAGGTTCCAGGAGCTTCTTCTATATAATTAGATCGCGCAGTAGCCTGCTACTGGCTAATTTGTTAAAAAATAAAGGATGGCTAACACAATGAAAAGAACAGTAACAAGGCAATGAAATTAGCAAAAGGGCATATTTTATTTACTGCATAACCAGCATTTAAATAGCAAGAAAACATAACAAACTATCAGTACCAAACACCCCTGATATGACTCCTAAACAATAGCAAATACAGCCCAACTGAAAAGATAGTCATTCTCCTAAACAATAGCAAATACAGTTCAACTGAAAAAGACTAAGTCATTATTTGACTAACTCAACAGTAAATAGTTTCTACATTAATCTTTAACACCCTCCCTTAATGTAGAAATTTAACAACACCCAAAAGATCTCTTAAATCCATGAATTTCTTCAGTGGAAGTGGCTTCGTGAATATATCTGCAACTTGATCATTGGTACTGCAATATTCCATCTTGATGTCTCCTTTTGCAACTAGCTCTCTTATGAAATGATGACGTGTCTCAATATGCCTTGTTATACTATGATAGACTGGATTCTTTGTCATAGCAATTGTGGATTGATTGTCACAATAAATAGTAGTCGCCTCCACTCGAGTTTGCTTCATATCATCCAGGATTCTTCGCAACCAAACTCCTTGACAAGCTGCTGCAGTTACTGCCATATATCCAGCTTCTGAGGATGATAACTCTGTAGATGGTTGTTTCTTCGAGTTCCAAGAAATAGCTCCGTTGCCCATAGTGAAAACATAACCTGTAGTATTCTATCGATCATCAATGCAGCCTCCCCAATCACTGTCAGAAAAACCATACAGCTTGAAGTTGTTATTGTGCTTGTACCATATCCCAAATGAACTTGTCCCTTTCAAGTATCTGAGAATTCGTTTGGCAGCGCCCAAGTGATACTTGCTTGGACTTTGCATAAACCTGGACAAGAGACTTGTTGCTTACGAAATATCCGGTCTGCTCGTGAGATATAATAGACTGCCAACAAGGCTTCGATAAAGCTAAACATCAACTTTTTCTCCTCCATTATCCAAGCTGAACTTTTGATTAGTGCACATGGGAGTACTCACAGGATTGCAATCTTTTAAGCTGAACCTTGTAAGAAGATCATTGACATATTTTCCTTGTGTCATAAAAATCCCATTATCACACTGCTTAATTTCCAGCCCCAAAAAGAAATTCATCACCCCCAAATCAGTCATGTCAAACTCATATATCATCAGTTGCTTAAACTCATTTAATAAAGCATCACAATTGCTTGTATAAATCAGGTCATCAACATAAAGACAAACAATGAGAGTATCACATGTACCTCTGGCTTTGACGTACAAGGTTGGTTCACTTGGAATTCTATGAAATCCATTCTTACTGAAATGTCCATCAATTCTCCCAAGCATGTGGTGCTTGTTTTAAACCGTAAAGGGCTTTTCTCAAACGGTACACTTTATCTTCATGGCCTGCAATCTCATAGCCTTTCGGTTGTCGTACGTACACTTCTTCTTCTAAGATTCCGTTTAAGAATGCTGACTTCACATCAAATTGATAAACTTTCCAGTGAAAATGAGCAGCAATAGATAAAATAGTTCCTATAGTATCAAACCTTGCTACCGGAGAGAAGGTTTCTTCGAAGTCTATCCCCTATCGCTGCATGTACCCAAGTGCAACAAGCCTTGCCTTATACTTTTGAACAGAACCATCAGCCTGGTACTTGATCTTATAGACCCATTTCAGCCCAACGACCTCCTTTCCATCCGGAATGTCAAGTAGCTCCCATGTCTTGTTTCTTTCTAAGGCTTTCATTTCCTCATCCATTGCTGTATGCCATTCTTTGGACTTGATGGCTTCTTCAAAGACAGTTGGTTCATCAATCTTGGCAATTTGACATCGTTCTGTGTTGTCATAAATTTCTTGCAATGATCTCCATTTTCTTGGAGATGTCTTTGATGAAGACGAGCTTGGTGAGTGTGAGCTTGAGACCGGTGATTGACTGTTTTCTGGTGTAGGGGAACTAGAACCTCCATTCTCATTTTCTTGCCTTGTAGGAGAGTTAAGGAACTCGCCATCTTCTAATATTGGACCTGATTGCACAATCTCCCAATTCCATGCACTCTTCTCATCAAATACAACATCACGACTTATTAGTAACTTTTTTGTGACAGGGTCATAGAGACGATACCCTTTAGTTTCAGTACTATAGCCAACAAATATGCATTTAATACTGTTGTCATCTAACTTCCCTCTCTTTTGAGATGGAACATGCACATGTGCAATACATCCAAGGATTCTGAGATGAGTTACCTTAGGTTTCCACCCATGCCATGCTTCAAATGGTGTCTTTTGACTCAAAGCTGCTGTTAGAGATCTATTGAGAAGGTAGGCTGCTGTATGGATTGCTTCTGCCCAAAAATTTTTTGGAAGATTTTTAGCTTTCAGCATGCTTTTTGCCATTGCTACAAGACTCCGATTCTTCCGCTCAGCCACTCCATTTTGCTGTGGAGTGTAACTAGCTGTTAATTGTCTCTCGATGCCAAACTTTTCACAAAAACTATCAAATTCTCCTGATAGAAATTCTCCACCACGATCTATCCTCAAGACTTTCAGTTGTTGCTCACTTTGCTTTTCGATATAGGCCTTAAACTTCTTGAACACCGAAAAAGCTTCTGATTTTTCTTTCAAAAAATATACCCACGTCATTTGGCTAAAATCATCAACAAAGACTAGAAAATACCTGCTGTTTGTCATGGGCCCACAAACATCCGCATGAATCAGTTTGCAGGTTTGGAAGCTCTTCTTGCTTTGCCTGTCGGGAAAGAATCACGATGCTGCTTTCCAACTACACAACTCTCACAGACATCATCAACAGTTTTAATTACAGGCAAACCATCAACAAAATTCTGTTCATACATAAGAGCCAAACTTCTGAAATTAAGATGCCCATATCTATAATGCCAAACCCAGGTTTCGTCACTCACAATTGCTTTCAAAGCATGCTGATCAGTAGAGGTGAGAATGTAGGGAAAAATTTTGTTTTTTGACATGGGTACTTCAACTACCAACTGCGTTTTCGATTTGTCTATATACACAAAACAAATGGAATCTTCAAAGACAAGAGAATACCCATCCAATATAAATTGCCCAACACTCAACAAATTTGAATTCAGATGAGGAACATACAGAACATTCTGAATGTATTTCAATCCAAGAGAGTTCAACATCACAGTACCTCTTCCTTGTGCCTCACGTACCGTTCCATCACCCATTGTGATCTAGCTAGTCACAGATTCATCTAAATCGGTGAAAAGATGTAAATCACTTGTCATGTGATTGCTGCAGCCGCTGTCGATGTACCAAGTTTTTGGAGAACATTCTTTGGCAGAGAAACATGCAAGAAACAGACTTTCGGTATCATCTTCCCCTTTCTCCTGGGCTAGATTGGCATGCTGCTCCTTACGCCAGCAAAATTTCTCTATATGGCCATATCTCTTACAGTAGTAACACTGTTTAGGGCTTTGATTCTCACCTTTATCATAGTTTCTTGAACCTTGATCGTACTCATTGGAACGACCACTGCTTCTGCCTCCTCTTCTTCCTCGTGACGAAGAACCACCATGCGACTTAGAGTTGCTCTGACTTCTTGGTTCACCTTGTGAGAGCTGCATCTTACTGTAAAAAGCATTCTCAACAGAAACATCATCATATCTCTTCATCCTATCTTCATGAGAGAAAAGAGAACCCTGCAACTCATCAAGAGTTAACACACTCAAGTCTTTTGATTCTTCTATTGCAGCCACAACATGATCATATTTCTTAGGCAAACTCCTAAGAATTTTCTCAACCACTTTTTGCTCACTCAAATATTCACCATACTTTCTAATTTGATTCACAACATCAATCACGTTGGAAATATAATCAGACAAAACATCTCCATCTTTCATAAGCAAACTTTCAAATTTTCTACGAAGAGTTTGAAGTTTAACAGTTACCACTTTTGCAGTGCCTTGATACGCTGTATACAGTCTATCCCAGGCTTCTTTGGACCTTGTTGCAGCAGATATGCGTCGGAAAATCACGTCATCCACAGCTTGTTGGATGAAGAATAAAGCAATGGCATCCTTCTTTCGGAGGTCTCTGAGAGCATCAGCTGCCACTCCGTCTTTAGTATAGCCCTTCTCCACTAAATCCCATAGTTCTTGGGATAAAAACAAGGTCTTCATCTTGGTACTCCACACATCATAATTACTCCCTTGGAAAATCGGAATTGAAGGTTGTGATGGGTTCACTCCAATGTGATTATTGGCCATCTGGATTGAAATAGCTCTGATACCAGATGTTAAAAAATAAAGGATGGCTAACACAATGAAAAGAACAGTAACAAGGTAACGAAATTAGCAGAAAGGTTAAATAGCAAGAAAACATAACAAACTATCAGAGATTCTAGTACCAAACACCTCTAATATGACTCCTAAACAATAGCAAATACAGCCCAACTGAAAAGACTAAGTCATTCTCCTAAACAATAGCAAATACAGTTCAACTGAAAAAGACCAAGTCATTATTTGACTAACTCAACAGTAAATAGTTTCTACATTAATCTTTAACATAATTGACCTACGTGTGGATCGTGGTATTGAATTGCATTGTTCCCAGCCCCCCTTGCGTGTCTGCGTAGCTGCAACAACAATGTTTAATTTCGCGCTTACCTTACCATGAAAGGCAGAAGAGGAATGCTGACTGTTTGGACCAGGTTAAACAAACGGTTTTCACACGCCTATTAGCTCTGAACTTCGGTGTTTTACTCATACTTTTAAAAAATACCCCGAAACGGAATCGTTTTAGTCATTGGTTTATGAGTCAACGATTCAACCACCCGGTTCAAATGGATGGCCTGTTCTAACCAAAAAAATTAAAAAAAAATAAAAAATGGCCAAAAAGTGTTGAATGGGTTAACAGTTTGACCACCCAGGTCAATGAGTCATTGACTGGTTCAACATTTTTTTACTAGGGACCGGGTTTCGGTAAAATGGAACCGGTTGCCTAAACAGTTCCTGGGCCGAATGATCCGATTGTCTGGATCAATGACAGTTCAAAAACCATAATTGTACTTAACTATAGTGAGTTAAAAACATTGATTATCATTGAACCAAAAAAAACAAAAGACATGTTCTTGGTTTGGATATGCAATGTATTTTTTTGTTACCAAAACATGAAATTGGAAATGTTTCTGAATTTCAAGTTTAATAAACATGCTTTCCTTTGGTGACTTGATATTATTTATCGAAAATTTGATTTTTTTTTCCTCTGGAATGCATCCAATTTGATCAAATGGATATTAATTCACTTTTCTAATTTTTATTTACACACTGGACCAGGCCGGTATAATCTCTGGAACCCAAGTGCAGAATTTTGGCCCAACTCTAAAGAACCTCAGTGCAGAATTTAAAAATTAGAATGGGGGCTCAGGAAAATCTGCGACTGACTTGGCTGTAAGCTTTTCTTGTGGTTAAACGCTAAATCTGTATTTGGTTTGAAAGAAAAGGTAGGAAAAAGAAGGGAAAAGTAAAGAGACATTAGGAATAGCAACGGGGTAGGGCGGGAAAGGGGAGCCTCTCCCATCCCCGTCCCCAATAATGGGACAAGGTTATCCCCATTCCCGTCCCCGTCCCATTCCTACCAACGGGGACAAGGTTATCATCGTCCCCGTAGAGATCTCTACTCCCTATAATTTTTTATAATATTAACTATTTTATTTTTATTTTTTATTTTATTGAAAAATAAAATAAAATAATTAAAATTTAAGATTCAAACAAATTCAACTATATATATATATTAGTGAGGATCAGGGCAGGGATCGAGGCCCCTATTAACCTATTGACGAGGATGAAAATTATAGAGGTATTCACAGTTCGGTTTGAAGAATATCTCAATAAATTACAGTTTGAGAAACTCTCCAACCAAATCAAACCATTTTCCTACATAAACTATTTTGACTTTTGAGGATTGCAGTAGAACTGATGAAGGGTGATTTGACCCGTCCTCATAATGAGGGGACACGTGGACGTGATTCGACATAAGTGACAACTCAACGTAATGAGCTCGCTCCAACTCAGTATAACGAGCTTGCTATAATCCAGCCTGATAGCTCACCATGAATGGCATCTCGCTACAAGATAATACTCCGTTACCCCGGGCTAAGACTCTCCCAAATAGGGAGCACCCTGAGCCAAGACCCTCCCAAGTAGGGAGCATCCCAAACTGAAGACACTTCGGGTTAAGCTCGTTAGCTCCCTAACTAGAATAAGCTCGCTCCTGTCCAAACCCAAGTAGTCTACCTCGGAGACCTGCCTCGGGTAGAAGCACATCGGCGCATCACCAATAGCTCGGTGTAAGGTAGCTCGCTGCAGAGCAGCTCGGCGTATCGCAAGGGGTTTTCTGCCTGACAACCGTACCTGCCAAACCTGGAGATTGCACCCACGTCTCTCGCCTGGCGGCGTTGTGCCTGCCAACCCTGGAGGTTGTTTCTTGTCTGGTAGAACCGTACACTCCAGTGATCACCTTTGCTCGCCAGCTCAGCCCTGACAAATAACGGCCAACAACTCCAAGCCGTTATTTGACAACAGATCGCTGCAACAGAGATTCTGAGGCGGTTGCACCTGACATGTCTGGATACTAGTATATAAGGACCCCGACCCTCAGGGGCAAAGGTATTGCGTGATCATCACTCTAGCTCTTTAATTTCACTGCAACTCTCTCTCTCTCTCTCCCTCTCTTTCTCTCTCTTTCTCTCCCAGCTTTCAATCCGGCTACTAACTTAACCATCGGAGTGTTCCCGCCGGGTGAGGCCCCCGGGTTCCTTCATCTTCTTCCTCACAAGTATCTCTCGTCCGTCACTAGCTAGGAGCGCAGCCATTTCCATCTAGGAGTGACCAGATCGCACACCATCAAGAACTATAGCAAATGGCCGGAATTTGAACCCACAATCACCTACTTTCGCGGGATCGGAACAACCGCACCCTGTTTTGACGCCGAGGTTTGTTCTGGGAAATAGTGAAGGGTTTCTACTCGGTCGTGGAGCATCTGTGGTTTTTGCTAAACTTTTTTGGAACCGACATAAAAGAAGAAATGGGAGGAAGTGGCAGGTTCTGCTGCACAGGGTAAGGAGAGAGGCAGGGGAAAGGTTTTTGCAGAGGCTTCCAGCGCCGGTGGACGTTGATGCATGGGCTTCTCTCCAGAGTTAATCTTTGCCGGTAGGAGGGAAATCTGATGTGGCACAGTCGTCGGTGGTAGTCTCGCTAGATCTAATGCCGCCGAAGGATCAACCGCCGGAGAAATCAGGATCATCGGTCTTCTCCGCTCATTGATGGGTCGGATTTTCAAATTTCAACCTGTTTCCAATCTTGTTAGGCGGGCAGAGATCATTGCTTTAATTTACCTAAAAGCTTAAGCCTCACAATTTGTTAGAATGAGGCTTGATGCTTAGCTTAATATGATTAAAGCCAAGTATCAATGATTATTTGGGAGTGAATTAGTCGGAGACAAAAACATACACACCCGACTTTATCAGGGTTGAACACACGAGTGTTAAGTACAGCTGGGTCTCAGATGGGTCCACAGTGAGCACTAATGTGTTCAACCTTAATAGGTATAGTTCAGTCGGGTGTGTATGATTTGTCTCCGGTTCATCCCGAGTGATTTATGCAAAAAAAATATTTTATACATTTTTATAGTTCAAGATATATGGAAGAAGCACTTCAAGAAATATGGGACAAATAAATAAAAAGAGTAAAAATGCAAAAAGGTCCAATCAACTTCTTAGTTTTTCTTGGATATGAGATTTTGTTTTTCTAGTTATTTTAAATATAGTATCTCAAGTTTGTTATTTTTCTCATTTCTTTTTTTAATGGATTTCTTTTTTTTATTGATTTTTTTTTTGCATAGATGAAATTAACTAAGGTGGCATTTGATAACACTTTTCAAACCTCTCAAGTTTGAAAATGTTGCTTTTCAGACACCACCTTAGTTTGGGTTACCCTCTGATTAGCAGATCTGAAACCCAAATTCAAATCTTAATTGATAAGAGGCGAACCAAGTCCTTACAGTCAGACATGTTTCAGACCTATGTGAAAGACATAAATGTCCTCACAAAAATTTTAAAATGACCTGTTTTGTCCTTCATATAAAATCGAATTCGATTAAATATTTGAATATTCTATTCGATTTGAATTTGACCAATTAATTATTTTAGGTAATTAATAAATATATAAAATAAATATTTTATTTATATAAAGTATATAAATATATAAGCTATATAAACATTTAAATATTTTATATATTATATATAAGAATTAAATAATCGGTCAAATTCAGATATTTATCGAATCAAATCATGTCATATCAGAACTTAAATCCGATTAAATATTTGGTATAGATAGGACATCCGAATTCGACCAATTAGATATTCAAATTATTCGAATTTGATTCTGATGATGTACGATCTGGAAGCTCTTAGCTGGAATAATCCCTCATCAGATTCAATTATGTCGAATCTTGAATTTGAAATTAGATTTTCAAATACCGTTGACACCCCTAATGAGTATAGGGGATTCCTTAGAAGTTGGAAGCTTAAACAATTGGAGAATACCCCCTAAGAGGGTGTTAGACATGGCTGCAGTTATATTAGAAAACCATACTTTACCGGTTAAACCATGATCAATCCCCCATTCGGTTCGGTTTACCCTAAAAACTGGAACTCATAAAAATATATTACCAAAATCAGTTGATTGGCCGTAGGGGTGTCAATTGGATTGGATTTGGTCCAATCTAATCCAGTCCAATGTGAACCCATTACAAATGGACCAGGTCCAATCTGATCCAATGAATATTTTGAACCGGTCCAATTCAGTGCCTAGACTACCAATTTGTTCAAATTTGTTTTAATTTAGATTAATTCTAACTAAAGCCTGGTCCATTGACACCTATTTTTTTATCTTCTATCAATGGACTAAATATTGGCTCAATCCAACACAATCCAATATAAATTCATTACAGATGGGCTAGGTCTAATCCAATTCGATAAATACTTTGGATAATTAAAGTCTAGACTGGTCCAATTCAAAGTCTTATTAGTGTGTTCAATCTCTCCACATTGATTTTGGTTTGGACGGGGTCCAATCCAAAGTTGATTCATTGACACCCACAATTGGCCGATGTAATAAGAGAACCAATGAATTGATCTTGGTTTCATGCAATGGCTTGAGAGGCTTTAACTTTGGTCATTTACTTAAAAAATTAAAGAACAAGCCAT